TTCAATACCCAACACGTAGCAACATGTCGCAACAGGGTAGCCAAACGCGCGCAACATGTTGCGCCCAACAGTGTTGCGATATGTTGCGTTCAAATGTTGTAATCGTTTGGCCGGAGCTTGCAAATGCTAGCCCAACAATGTTGGGATGTGTTGAGCTCAAAAGTTACGATCGTTTGGCCGGGGCTTAATAGTGGTATAACGGCAGAAATGGATGGTATAGCAAGGTTACCATGACAACACTAAAACACAATTACGGTTTTTCTTTTGTTTTCAAAAAATGGTAGCAAGATTCCTAGAAATTTCCGCGGAGGAAATACAAAAGCTCGTCGAAAAAGCAGTAAGCAAAAATACAGTCTAAACTACTAAGCCGCAGATGTATGTGTGGAAGTCTTTGGCAGAAAGCAAGCGTCGACATTGTCAAATACCAAGCCAAAGAACTGGACGAATGTCTCTCTTGGTTCTTTGCCTAGATTCGCAAAAGCGATGGCTCCGACTATGAGCCGGACAGTCTAAGGGTTATCAGTGTTGGCTGCCCTCGACAGACATCTCAAACAAAATGAGAGCACAATTTCCATACCTAACGACCGAGAATTTGTCAAGTGCAGACAGGTCCTGGAGGGAAAAGCAAGAGCTCTTCGCGAGACAGGCCACGAAAAACGACCAACTGCAACAAAAGCACTTACCATCCAAGACGAAGAGCAGCCGCGCCATAGAAAAATAGTTTACCTGGCAAACAAAATCCAAAGTCAAGCACCATGAAATGTTTGTCGAAGAGATCAGCGTGAAAAAGGACGATCAAGGCACAGAGTACGTAACATTCGAAGAAAACCCAACAAAGACCCAGCAAGGCGGTCTCAGAAAGAAACGAAGACCCATCCAGTCAAAACTGTTTGCCACTGGAGGTCCCCAACACCAAACAGTAGCCCATTTTATCCTGCCATTATTGCAAACCGAAATCCGAAGTGTGGTACAAATAAAAGAGGACGGGTGTCAATAAGATCGACGCCTTCATGCAAAATATGGCCTTGGAAGCGGAATTGGTTGTAGGGGGACGAACGTTAACCAGCCATCCGTTAAGAAAAACGCTTGTGAAGAAGCTGAAGACTTCGAATCNTAACGTGTCGAAGTCGCTAGCATGAAGTAGAACAGCGACAGATCTCATCCATCATTAGTTCTCCTGTCTGCCAACAGGTTCAGAATTTCCGTCCAGTTTTTTTTCTAGTTTGCCCATTCAGCACGATCGCACAGCGACTCCAGCCTGTCAAGCAGCAGTTCCAGCACTTTCATGGCTCCCAAGTGACGATAAATTACGGAGCTGGTGTTGGTGGTTCTCAACAAAACAACAATTAGATACTGGAGGAAGTTTACTTGTGCCCTAACTTGATTTGTGGTGTCGCCTCACCGCTGCAATGACTGCAAAACACGTGATATGAAAATGACTTTCATTGAACTATTGAGCTATGTTGTTTGCCTTCAATGGTTTGTTTCGAGTGATTGCTACGAATGCAAACGCGCGCCTTTCTTTTTTCAACCGAAACGAAATTTAAGTCTCTTGTGCGTTACCGAAAATTCCCGGCTTCTAAATTATCCAC